GCGCGACACGCTGCTCGTCGCCGCCGAGCTTCACGCACCGTTAGCCGCTCGCACTGCTCGCGCGGAGTAGTGGCCGGGCGGGCACCTCGCGTGTGCTCTCCATCGAACAGCCTTATAGTTGTAAAAAATAACATTCCTCCAACGAGTTGCCTTTAAATCAACTTTAAACGAGTCACGACCGTTGGGAGAGAGACAGTGAGAGAAAGCGAGAGAGAAAGAGAGAGAGAGAAAGAGAGAGAGAGAAAGAGAGAGAGAGAGACAGAGTCGCTAGTTAAAGATGAACGTCCGTATACAAGGAGACTGCAACGAGATCTATAATATATCAGTTTCAGAATATCGGAAGTGTGCCACTTCTTGCCGAATGACCGTCGCCGGATATTGCGGCTTTCGAATGTCGGATTTCATTTTGTCGTGCCGTCCGGATCAACAGGAGGAGGGCAACCGAGAAGAAGAGGAAAAGCTGAGAAGACGAAGAGGAACAACGAGGAGGTCGAAGCGTCGCGACGTCCTCTCCGGGCCGACTTCCCCACACCGAGACTTGTGAGGGTGTAACGTCGTGACGCGGGAATACCCGAGATCTTATGAGATCTTTTCGCTTTTGTTCCTCGTCGTTCCAACACCACATTGTTGAAGAATGCCGACGGCGAGCCGCGCGTCGAGGCGGCGCGCGAGCGGATTAGGCAGCGCGACCTCTTGTCTACACCATCTTGTATCACGTTAGCTCAATCTCGCGTATCTCTATATCCGCCGTTTGGATTTTTTACACCGTTTTACAGCAGTATAATCCAGCCTATCCGTCCCCGCGACGCCTTGGACGCCTTACCGTCGTCGAGCCTCGTCGCGGCGACATTTCGCTTTGAAGAAACATTGTGTAATTGTAGGATGGCAGAAATGAAGGAAACACAGACGCGAAAGGACGATGATGACAATGACGATAACGATGATAATGATAATGATGATGTTCATGTTGATGTTGATGTTGATGTTGATGTTGATGATGATGATGATGATGATGTTGATGATAATGATGATGATGATGATACTGACGTGTGATGATTACTTTCGATTAACGACGAAGAAGATGAGTGAAGGAAAGTTCGCATGTGGAAGAGGACTCATTCTGTCGTGAAATGAAATGTACGCGCGGGTAGTAGCTAACTACATTCGCTCGGCTTGCATCTCTCGCGAAACGGTGCGCGAACGCTTGATCGCGCCGCTTTGGTTCCACAACCCTCTCTCCCGCCCCTTCTGGCCCCCCGTTTCTTCTCGTCGGTTTTTGGAAGGGCCCGCGTGCATCAGGTACGCAAGTACTGATCGCTCCACGCGACGCGAATGTGACTCCCCCGACGATGTTTAGCCCTGTGAAATACACCCCCTTTCAGAAATAATTCCCTCAATCCTGCGCAAAATACATCCTGGAGTTAATATCTGGTGCTTTCCAGCTAGCGACACAATAGACGGGAGCACAATGTCTTGCATAATGCATAAGAAAATGAATCAATGGAAGTCCTTCATTTGAAATGAAAGACTCTGATTGTTTGATTTTCTTATGGGCTTTCTATAACAAGATATTACCTAAGCTTTAGGTCTTAGGTCGTAAGAAATTTACCAATCGTAGTCGATTATTCTTCTTACATTCAACTGCGATTGATTAATTTCTTCAGACTTAAAACTTAGGTAATGGCTTATTGTAAAAAGCTCATTATGCTTTATGCATTATGCGTTATGCTAAGGTCTGTGCTCCGGTCTTAACACATCATCATTTCATCCTCGTTAACATTGGCAAACAACAAGGATATAATGACTCACTGTGTCATCTGTGTCTCTCTTGCTGGAAAGCGTCCATCAACTCACGTCTCGGCGACGAGTCCTCGCGTCTTTCTGCCGTGTTCTGGCTTTTTTACGATCACGTTTGTCATGTGTGCAAGACTTTTTGCATCCCGGTGGAAAAAATCCATTGTATCCGTCGTTCCTCTTTTTCTTCTCTCCGGATTCTTCTTTCTCGCGGACTTATCCATTTAATCTCTATCTAATACTTGCCTATCTGTGCCTCCGCTCTTTCGCCGCCCTTCCTATACTTCCTTTTCGACCCTTCCGCGTTGCGATTCCTCTATCGCAATTAAATATCAATAACGCGCATATTGGCTTTAAAAAATAATAATTAATAAAAAGAAAAGAGAAAAAAATCTTTCAATTTTCTTGACAAATGGCTTAAAGGGATGGAGAGGGGGAAGGGGGCGCGATTCCGCAGATTCATCATCAGCTAGATATTTACACATTTGCAAAACTTACACGCAGTCTTACACGATGTAGTATAAACGCGCTTCGGAATAAATGAATTAATACATTCTAGTGTATCGTTATTCGAATAATCGCAATCGATCGCCGCGCGCGTAAACCCGTCTCGCATCGCAAATCTCGCGACGTACTGAGGATACTTATAGAGTTGTAATTATATTATTATTATTGTAATTATTATATATATTGTGTACATGGTGCACAGTATGGAGCTCGCGTTCGAATTTCGTTCGCGAATTTCGATTTCGGCTGACGAGAGTTTTTAATTACAAAGAGATACTTACTGTTATGTAAAATAATATGGTCGCTCCGAAATATATTGCTCTTTCAGTACCGAGGATTTTTCACTTCTAGTTTCTGAGGTCGCGTATCTTTAAAAGCCTGGAACAACGCAGGAAAAATGTTATGGAAAAAAAGGCTTCTGCATGCAGAAAGAAGAGCCTTCCACGAGGAAAAAAAAAAATAATTGGATCGCACGGTATTTTTTGCTGATCGAACAATGAGAAAACCCTACCTTGTTGTGCCTTTTGAATAACAGCAATTTTAAGCAATTTGAACTTCGGTTTCCTCGTGCGCGATGTTGCATCGTTAAACAAAATCAATCTTGATGATCCCGAGGGACGTCATCGCGCGCATCGTTGAAATTGCTCGCTTTGTTCCCTGTCGCGAAAGCAAAACGTATCCTTCGCTTCTTGCTTCTCGGTACCGAAGTATTTTTAACGCCGTCGGCGTTCCCGCTGCGGCAGATGTCAATAAACGCAGAATTAGACGGGTTTACGCACAAGACTTCGCGCGGAATCGCGTACAGATCTACGTCGACTTATCGCGTCTCGGTGATCGTTTTTTTTCTCTTATTTTTTTTTCAATAATGATTATCACGGTGGAAAGAATACGTGTTCAGAGGTTCATTTCTTTACATTCTTTCGTCCATATCAGACTAGAGATTAAGACTGAATTTAATCAAAAGTGGGAAACCCAATATTATTTTCTAAATTCTCTAGAATGGAATCTCACTTTAAAGAGTGAAAAGTGAATCAATCCTGAAAAAGAATAATTCAATTTTCAATCTTTAAGAATCAATCTTTGAGATTTCATTCTAAAAGTTAAAGTAAGTTTAGTAAACTTTGCGCTTTGACTTTGCTTTAATTGGTCAAATCAATCTTAATCTCAATTTTAATCTCTAAGTCAAATTAAATCTAAATCACAATTTTAATCTCTAGTCTGATACAGAGATTACCTTATGAAACGTTTTAATGAAAATTTAGTTCCCTCGTTGACCCAACCAGAATATGAAGTCATTGTAACATCAAAATGGTTATTAAAATTCATTATGACTCCGAAATGATAATTAAAATTCCTATTTAATTAAGTTAAGATTCATTTTAACGTCAAAATAACGTTATCATGATCTGTTTGGGGATCGAGAGACAGATATACTCTGTTAATTTCGTTAAGACATGCACATGCTGATACACGATGTATTCTCTCTATCATGATCGTTAGCCCACAGTCGTCGTCGCGATTCCGCCACGAAGCAAATACCAATCATTTCGCCTCCGCGCAACCTACACCTACAGATCACCAAAGCAAATTTTGAACGTGTGTTAAAAAACAATTTATACACGGAGCATCAGAGTTTTATTGCAACGCGTGACGACGATGACGACATTGCTGACTTTGCAACGGCCATGTTCGTAAGAGATATGATTATATATATATATATATATGTATATATATATATATATATATACACATATATATAGAGAGAAAGAGACAGATGTTGTATGTACGTGCAGGATGAGACGTGCAGAGCGCCCGCGTCTTTCTTCCTTTAACATTTTATTAGTCGCTCGAATAAAATTGCTGTTTTAAGCCCTCGAACGCTGCATTTTTCTTCGGATGCCGGCTATCATTTAAAAAAAAAATCGGAAGACAATTCCACGCGAGCGCGTCTCGCCTCGCACGCACGCACGCACGCACGCACGCACGAGCGAACATTCGTCGTCATATAATATTATAATGAATTAACAAGAGCGTTATCGCAGTCACGCGGCGGCGTAAGCTTAAGTAGGCGGCGAGATAAAAACAAAAACAAAAGAGAAAAAGACATATACATATATATATATATACACACACACATATATGTATGCGTGTGTGTGCGGATTTAGTACGGATTGCGCGATCGTTATTTTTCTACGTCTACAACTGCGATCCGCGTATAAAAGTCGGTAGGGTGAAAGAAACACAGGTAAAACACAAAGTCGTATGGTGCTTCCGATAAGCGACACAGTGTGACACAATGATCGTGACATCATCGTTTAATATTGGCAAACAACAAGGATGTAATAATTCATTATGTTACACTGTGTCTCTTGCTGGGAAGCAACCGTAATGAAGTCATAATGATCAAGAAGATCAGGTAAATTAATAACAAAGACGCGGAGTCGTTCAAGATAACGACATTTGTGACCAATCAGAAATTGGCCCCAAATTTTATAAGCCAATATAAAGCTCTGCTAAGTATTAGAAATTTTTTTCCTCCAATTATATTCAGCTGTCAAAGCGCAATATGACACCTAGTCTTTTTACATCATGATGATATATCATGTGTCATCACGAT